AGAGAGAGAGAGAGAGAGAGAGAGAGAGAGAGAGAGAGAGAGAGAGTGAACCAGAGAGACGAGGGAGAACGGGCGCCGCGACGCTCTCCTCTCCTGCGGAGTCGCCGACGCGACCTCGCTCGCTCCGCGTCCGTCGTAAAGAAAATCGCGCGAGCCGACATGTAACTGTAATCCGCAGTCTGTTACTTGCCGTCATTGTACACGGCGAGTGATCGTTATTCGTCGCCGACTCGTTAGACGAGTTAAATGAAGTAATTCGAATCCGTGATAAAAGGGCGACACGGAAGAGACAGATATATGTCCGGTGACGCTGCTGTGTCATAGAGCGATCTTAGATTGGATGACGAATCGTCACTCAGGTCGGGAAAGCGTCGCTGTTCGCTGACGCCAAGTCCCAGGAGTTTCGGGAATAATTCGCGGATCATACCTCGAAAACGATTCACGCGAGAGAGGTCGACGTTAAATCTGAGAGAATCCGTCGTTAAATAATGTTTACTGTACACAATCACATCGATAGATCATATCGATTCGCTCGTTCACGATGTTTGGATTCTGTTTCTTATACTCGCGCTTTGGAAATCTATCTTACGATCTGTCACGTTCGCTTTCCGCTCAGTCAACTAAGATTCAATCCGTTATCCGCACGCTATTGTGCCTGACGCGTTCACAGTCACGATTTAATTTCCATGCGATAATAATAATTTTCCGCGTAAAGTCGCCGCGTGAACTCGTTATTCATTGTTAATCCGCTCGTTTCATCTTCCTCGTTTTCTTATTCAATCCGTTGCGCTCGGTTGCCGGAGTGACTTTTGTGCCGGTGTGACACAGATTAAAGGTATTTTTCTTATATTGCGTCATGTTTTATACGCTACCGCGTAGCGTAGACACGAAAGAGCGAAATATGTTAAAGGAATATGTGCACACATTTTCATGCGATGACCATTGCGCGAGCTCCCCGAGCCGATCGATAATAACCCGATCGCTTGTCTCTTCTTTTGCAGAGAAGAGGCGCCACGGAGGCGTGATATGAAATTGGTGCCAACGATTCAGCTACCACAGCTACCACCGGTTTCCGCCGCGGGCGGAATAACCGGAATGGATTCCCGGTTGCCTTCGAACATACCGCTGCCTTTCGGTACGGACTTCCTTTGGCGGGCCCAGTATGGGCCGATAAACTTCCCGCACACCACGCACCCGCCGCCCAGTTCTCTCTTGGACTTTAAGACACATTTGCCAGCGAACCTTGGTAAGTGTTATCAGATTAACGGCGCTTTCCTTACAAGCCTGTAAACTTCATACATTCCTGTGTCGCGCGGTTGCTTCCGGTCTCATAGAAGAGAATGCCCGCGGCGCAGAGTCTCGGTGTTTGTGTCGAGAAGTTCAGAAACTTCTTCGTTGCTAAGATCGTCGACGTTACGTCGACCTTCTCTTCACGGACCGTTTTTGCGAATCGAACGCTAGGTAAACGTTAGATCCGTGAAGAATTCAAATGGATTTTCTTCCTTGGACGATAAATCGGTCATCTTCCACGATAGTACACGAGTGCTGTTAGAACGTTAAATTATAGAGAGCGAATATTTGGTCGACGAATAATTTGTTTCCACTAAATGCAATAAAATCCAAAATTGAGTCTCATATCTTCTTGTACGCGATAAATGGTCCAAGTCACCAGACTTGTCGCTTTTAATGCCCTTTAATTCCTCTCGGAGAGTATCTAACGTAATCTGCATTGATACTAATAACGTTGCCACATGGGACTTCGCTGAACGAACGGGTACTTGAAACGCTTAGACAACGTCAGGCTACACGATAGTATACAGTCGCGAGTGCCATATATGTGTATACCGATGGCATGCTGTTCTCGCCTTTCAGCATCCGACCCCAGATTGTGGTCGCGAGAAGATGTGGCGGCGTTCCTGCAATGGGCCGAGAGGGAATTCGATCTGCCGACCATCGACATGGAGGGGTTTCAGATGAACGGCAAGGCCTTATGCCTACTGACGAAGGCCGACCTCGGAGACAGATGTCCAAGCGCTGGTGACGTTCTGCACAACGTGCTCAATATGTTGGTGCGCGATTTCAGCCAACTGCAGAGATGCATGCCGCACAGCCCGGTCACACCGACCAGGCCGACCGCGTATCCCCTGAGCCCGCACTCTCACCCGCCAACGCCAACCTGGACGGACAATCCGTATGCTCAGAATCTTGCCTCTCTTATGTCGGCCAACTCGGTAACATTGTCGCCGGCACCATCTGTGGACAGTCAAGCAGGTTCGCCTGGTCACGCAGACGGCAACCAGACGCAGGTCTACAAAAGCGATTCGGACGAGGACAATCAGCAAGTGAGCGGTAACAGCAGCCCACCGGCGACACCGACCGCCCTGACGGTGCAGAGACTCAGCGAGGTTAGCGTCAAGGATCAACCGAGTCCGACGTTACCGCCACAGCTAATGCCATTGACACCTGGTGCATTTCGCTCGACTGCGAGCACCGCTGCCCGGGAATTCTTCCCCAGCGACTCCTCGGAGCCTAACACCAGTTAGTATACGATTATTAATCTGTAACGTTGATCAATAAAGCTGCAGGATTACCAGTAGCTCCACGATAAACCAGAACGTTCTTCTGTCGTTGTGCGAAAATAGTGGAAGAAACGGTCTCTTTATATGTGTCCTCTAAAATCGCGTTTCATTCTGCAACAATCGCTGAATCGAGAATCCAGTAGCACGAAGTGTTGAGATCTAAGTGTTTTCGTTGTTCTTTTCAGACGGCAGATTGCTTTGGGACTTTCTTCAGCAATTATTGAATGAACCGTCGCAACGGTATACACATTACATCGCGTGGAAGAATCGAGAGACTGGTGTGTTTAAGATCGTCGATCCACCGGGTCTTGCGCGACTCTGGGGGATCCAGAAGAATCATCTCTCTATGAATTACGACAAAATGAGTAGAGCACTTCGTTACTATTACCGCGTGAACATACTTAGAAAGGTCCAGGGCGAACGCCACTGCTATCAGTGAGTATCATTATGATCTTCATAATAAGTAATTAATGCGCAATCGCCGCAAGAAAAATTACAATGGGATTGCGCGATAATAACGACGTACTAATTTCTTAATTTTCACTTGGATAATTTTAAAGAATTAATATATAATATTATTATTATTTATATTGTTATTATTATAACAATAATTTTACAACTTTTTTAAACTAATGTCGAATTGCGTGTTAAAAGACACGTAAGAGACGTCTAGTTTTCGAGAGAGAGAATATTCTATGAATCACCTTTACTCTTTACAGATTCTTACGTAACACGGTCGAGTTGAAGAACATCAAGAACATATCGGCGCTGCGTCAACACACGCGAATAAAATCGGAGCCGGAGCCGGAGGAAGAAGGGGCTTTCACCAATATCGAGTCGGAAGTGGACATGCCTACGGATCTCTCGATGTCCAGTATGAGCCAGCCATCGAGCGAACAGCCCCTTCCGTTGCACGACCCACCTGCCAAGTACAGATCAAGTCACGCGTACAACCTCGTTAGGACCAATCAGGAGCCGGAAGAGAGGAAGTGACGCGGGACCTAGCGATGACAGGAACGCAACGATCGTGCGTAATCGTTAACGCCGTGGGCGTAGAAGCCGGCAACAAGGCGACCTTTCGATGAAAGAGGGTCTCGTATCGGCAACCAACTAACTGATCAAGCAATCGGACCAAGTGTCTTCGATTAGTTCATTGTTCGTTGACGAAAAGGCAGTATCATTCGCGCAAGGTAAAGTCGAAGAAGGCTATTGAGTCGCGCACGAGAGAGAAAGAGAGAGAGAGAGAGGAGGAAGGGGAGAAGAAAAAGAAAGACAAAGAGGAAGAGAATACATAGACAGAGAAAGAGGACGAACGAAGTAACGAAAAGATGCATTAAGAATCATGTAAAATTGTGATGTTTTGGCGATGTTTTGGAACTTTGTCGACATACAATCGCTACTAATTCGGATTTTATAAGGATAACTGTTTGCGCGGGATGCGACAGAAGACTGTTACAATACAATACCCTCCCAAGACCACGCTACGAGACTCTCTGATAATAATTGTCAAGGCGGAAGGGAACAAGTAAGCGTTTGTTAAAATTCACCGGAATCACATCGACGTTCCAAAGATAAACCCCGATAGATCAAGGAATCGAATTCCTTCGCTGCCTTGTCTGTCGGAGATTCCACCGAGTTGCTGTAATTACATATACACATATACGAGGATCCTTACACTTTCGTTGATACATGTAAGAGAGTGATAAAAAGCGCAAGAGAAGAGAGGAGAAGAGAACACGTTTTGCCAATCACCTCACGGCACAAATCATATAACGATTTGTCCATATGAGCGGATATACACGTTGAGTCGTTTACGCGCCGATAACGATAAGACGCTTCGATGAAGCTGGATCTTCGCGGATATTCCGCCCGCCGCCACCTCTTCCCGCCCCACCACGAGCCTAGCTGTGCGAATTGTTGGGCGATTTCATTTCCGTTTTTACAACGACGTAATGAAATATGTACGAGGACTTAGGTGCACTTAAGGACACGCCGATTAATTCAATGTACAAAGAATGCAATGCCAGAGGAAAAACTGTTACCAGGTCTTTCCTTTCTTTCCGCGCCTTTATTCTGTTTTTTTTGTTTTTAATTTTAAGTACGTGTTAATAAATAAAATAATCAGTGTTCTGTGATGTGATTCTATTTCGGCGAAACACAATCCGTGACTAAGATCAATTCCAAAGAGAGAAAGAGAGAAAGGTGAAAAAGAGTCGGTTTACTCGAATTGAGATTTCACTTGTACGCATCACAGAGAAATTATATTTCTGCGAAGTTGTCGGAGTACAAAGAGCTCGATAAGATCTGTTTGTGAGATCTCTGAATGAAATTGTAATGTATTCGCTTGTAATGCGAAATTTGACATAAAGTTCAACTAGACTTTCTCGAGCTCTTTCTATGTGCTCTAAAACGGTTCTCCGTTATTTTGACGTATCTGTGCCAAGAACATTTGCTGCTTACTAAGAGAACGATGTATGATGTATGGTATTTAGTCGACTGTTCCAAAAAACTCGTAGGTATATCACGATTTTGGAACCGAGTTGTCGTATCGCTCGTGCTTGCGATGTACGAGAAAAATATGAAGAAATATGAAAATATTCTGGATATAATATATATTCAGAAATACGCGTCGTGTAATCAATTATATATATTGTAGGAAATGTAAATAATGCAATTATAAGTATGATACGTGAACGAAACTTATAAGGCAACATTTACCCTAAGAGTAGTGAAAGAATTTTATGGAAATTCGGGGCCAGAGTTATATATAAATTTATCTCTATAGAAAAAAAATATATATATATATTTTACTACCAAAATTTATATTCGAAATTTCTATGTTTGTTGCTGGTGCGATTGTGGCTTACATTCCACGAATTTATCCGGTGATTGCCTGCGAAACATAACACGAGGTGATGTGAAAAAGAAGCGAAGAATGAAGATGCAGATTTTAAGCAAATTACTAATCGTATTTTTGCACTTGAGAATACAAAACTGAGAAAGTATGAGAGAATAGCGGTATGAGTGCGAAAGAATGAGTGAAGACATGAGGAGAGAGAGAGGAGGGGGGAGGGGAGAGGAAGGAGAAGGAAATGATTCACAAAGTGATTTACAAATGAATATGGATAAATGACACATGGAAATACATCTGGCTTCTTGTATACTGTGATCTCTATAGCACGAGAAAGGGAAGTTAACAATTAAGTAGATATTATTTAGATGAAGTGCACGCACATTTGTCGGTTTCTGAAGAAGTGCGTAATGTTATCAAGATAAGAATATCTATGTACATCTCTCTTTTATTGAGGACTCTTCTGTTAACGATCGTGTAAATAACTTTCAGATGGCAAGTGTGAAAGAAGAATACTAAGTATATATAAATAAGTAAATAAATACATACATATATATCTATGTGTATACGCATATATACGTACATATATACATGTACACACATACATACATATACATACATATAATATAATAAATGTATATATGCGTATATATACGAGAGTATATATATATATATATATATATATATATATATATATATATATATGTATTTATTTATAAACGTTTCTTCCGCTTATACATACATATATAAGCGGGAAAACGTTGGAAAATTTTATATATCGTTTCAAGCATCATATGTAAAGTAAAACGTGTAAAATAGAGATCTAGAAATTAGGCTGATTTTATTATATAACTTGTTACGGTGAAAACGTGAAGTAATGAATGTTGTAAATATAGACCTATTTAGTTATTAAGAACATGTTCGTACTATTCTTTCATAAATCCAAACCCGAATGCGATCTATTAAAATCTTCATACAATAATTATGAAGATATTTAAAATTGTTAGATAAATTATGTTCATAAACTGGTACTTAAAACTATCTAAATCTCAATTTTCTTAAATCTAATATTTAATAAAGAGAATCGTTACAAACATTTTTTATTAATAATTTATAATAAATTCTTCACTTGCATATATATTTGGCACATAATGTCTATTACATGCACATATACATCACAGGCTGTATAAAAAGATTTTTTATAATTTTATTGAAAATATGTATCACTTACATATATAGATGTGCCTTACTGAAAAAATATTACATCATCTGCTATGACAGCTGTACTAGGACGAGAGTTTCCTTCATCATCTTTAAATTCACTGTAACTTAATCTACCGTTTACCATTACTCGTTGACCTTTTCTCAAGAATTGATATACACTATCCCTCAGATTGGGCCTAAAGACACATATCTTGTGCCAATCTGTTTTTTGCATGAAATCCCCTGTGAATGAATAGACATTCTAAAATAATTTACTTGTATGTAATGTTTATTTGTCTTTAAAACAAGGATTGCATCGATTACAAACCTGTTTCATCCTTATAATTTGTATGTGTTGCAAGAGAAAATATTACAACTGGGTGCTCAGTGGTTCCACGTTTTTGTGGACTTGCTCCTACTCTTCCCAGTAAGGTTACACTATTTACACCTGCAATCAGAACAGAGACCATTTTATTTTAAAATAAATAACTAGTAATTTGTATATTTTGCACATTGACCCAAACATTAATTACTTAACAATTATTTTTATACTTAAGCGCACACAGAAATTAAATATATAAAAATTATAATCATGTGACACAATAGTGTTTCTTCTGTCAAGTGCACAACCATGAAACTATATATTTGCAATTATCATGTTTTTATACATAGAGTAAACTCCACTTAACGATCGCGTCGACTACAAATATCATTCCATCTATGTTTTTCTCACTGAATGTTAAACAAATATAAAATGATAGCCCATGTCAACATGATCGCCAAACATGGAACTTATCTATAATTACATATTTTAACACATCTCGTAAAAACACACAAATAAATAATTGTATAATTACATTTTTCTATTCTTGAGGTCTCATTCATGTCTTGATTTAAAAATCGTACATTGTTTAATCGACTAATATGACTGCGTGTTCCCAAGATAACCTAAAAATAGCATATATACAAAGATTAAATACACGTAGGCCCGTATTCTGAGTTCTCTTTTAACGATAAATGAGCCTCTAAAAGTGACTCATAGCCAATTAGAAAGCTTATAAGCCACTTTTAGAGACTCATTTTGTCGTTAAAGGAGAACTCAGAATACGGACCGTAATCTATAAAATAATTTGTCTTGTTTATATATGATTAAAATAGATTTACTTACCCTGCGAAACATTGTGACTATTCAGTGTAAATTATATTTTTCCGTTAAAAAGAAATACAAAATAATCGAATGTCAAAATTGCAATAATCAACGATTACCGGTATACAAATTGTATCAAAAACTTTTGCACATAGAAGACGCAAACGCTTATGCAGGATTCACACCGCGTCCGATGTCCGACGTACGACGTCGATATCCAATAAAAGAATAGCTTTCTAATATAGAATTCAATTCTCCATTGGAAAGCTATTCTTTTATTGGATATCAAACGTCGTACGTCGGACATCGGACGCGGTGTGAATCCTGAAAAGGGCCTTCGCACACAATTGCCGTAACCGTAATGACTCCTGCACACAGGACGCGGTAATGCTTGCCGCGCGGCGGAAATTCGCGCAACAGCCAATCAATATGGTGCTTTCCGTATAACTTTTTAGCTCTTACGGAAAAACAATATATTGATTGGCTGTCGCGTGGACTTCCGCTGCGCGGCAAGCATTACTGCGTCCTGTGTGCAGGAGCCATAACAAGCTTTTTGGATATGTTCATTAGTTGACGAACTTAGAAATACTCTATTCGCCAACCAATAAACGTATCCAAAAAGCTTGTCGACATATGTACGACATATGTAATATCAATCTAATAAAGAATTCACACCGCGTCCGACATCCAATAGGAAAACAGCTTTCCAATGGAGAATTGAATTCTCTATTAGAAAACTATTCTCTTATTGGATATCGGAAATCGTACATCGGATATTGGACGCGGTGTGAATAACTGGCTGTCGGATAGTGAATTTCTGGGGTACTTTGAAAAAAAAATTAAGGACTTTAGGAGAATTCTATCCATCAACCAATCACAAACGCAGACAGTCACTGCACGTAATGCACACTAATAAAAACTATTAATCCCACCGTCACATACTGAAAAAAAAAATACTTGACCATTTATTTGTAAGATACAAGGTTTATTTCTGCGAAAAAAACATTTCTGTGAATATTATAAATTAAAGGTGAAAATTTATAGTCATGCTGTAGTCTTGCATTCCATTAGTCGTCCTCCTCGCGAGCACCTCCTGGTGGAGCTTTCGGACCACCTGCTCGCTTTGCCATGATGATTTGATCCACTTTAAGGACCGTGCACGCCGCACCTACTGCATACTTCATGGCCCACTGTTTCGTTAAATACAAATCCAAGACTCCAGCTTCGACAGTATCGATTAAGGCCGCTGTATCGCCCTGTGAAAAAAATACAATTCGTATTACTATCAATATTGACGCTAGATCCTTCAAAAAACATGTCGCAAATTAATCATATTGACTGCTCTCGACTTAACAAAATGCTGAAGAAGCGATTAACGATAACATAAAAACGACAAACGTAAAAATAAAAGAACCAGTACATCAATGTTAAAACCATAGTTCTTCTTTCCCTCTTTGTGCGCTGCGTATAACTTAGACAGAAGTTCTGACGTGTGGGTGCCACTGCTCTCGGCCAGTGTTTTAGGGAATATCTCCAAGGCAGTGGCGAATTTGCGGGCAGCGTATTGCTGCAGACCGGGCAACGTGTCCGCGTAGGATGCTAATTGTGCGGCCAACTCGATCTCTGTGGCGCCCGCACCCGGAACAAATCTGCCGTCTCTCGTGATGCCTTTGAATGTGTTGATGCCATCGTCGATCGCGCGTTCGATATCGTCCATGTAATTCTCGGTGGAACCACGCACAAGCACCGTGCTGATACGGCTCTCTTTCCCATCCAGTTTGAATATTACAACTATAGTATCCCCTAATTCGTCTATGTATACCGTATCGGCGTATCCTAATTCTTCTGATGACGGAGGTACCTTCAGAAAAAAAATCATCAATCATCGTTATGATTCAATGATATTAAAGTTCATGTATAAGTACAGCTATATATAGTGAGTAAAAATGTATTACGAGCTTGCAGAAGTTCGTAGGATCGTCGATAATTTAATTACTACGAAGTGAATCATTTTGCACGAGACAATTATGTGAAAATTGACGGATAATAACGGTAAATACTTTTGAACACACATACATAACATATACCATTTCATTATTAATACTAAAAGAATCATGACTAAAAATCCAATGGACATTTGCAAATCCCTACATTTACACACGCAGTACACACGCAGTCTCGAAGTAGACGTGCGATTAGAAAGAAAAAAAATACCAGTTTCGAAAGCGCGGTGGCGCCGACGGTTTTGCACAGTCGTCTGAGGTCAAACTTGCTTGGTACGCGAACAGCCATCAGATTGTATTTGTTCATGTAATGTAGAGCCATGTCGCCGAACTTTCCGCCGGCCACTATCACCGACGCGCCGCTCTCAGCGATTGCCTTGATCTGGTTCTCCAGCAACGATTCTTCGCCGCGCGAGAACTTCATCAACTCGTCCGCAGTTTTTATTAGCACGGTGCCTTTGGTCTCGGTCTGCGTAATATCCACGGCACCGGTGTAAATCACGATCTTGGCATTGGTCTTTGTCGTAACGTCTCCCTCGACCTGGCGTTTGAACACCATGCCTTGTACCACTTGGGAGTTGTTCAGGCCACCGCCGAGTATCTTGCAAACTCGCACGTTATCCACGTTGAAAGTTGTTTTTTCAGGTAAAATGGAGATACAGGCCTGACTGACAAGAGACGAAAGGAGATCCTCATTCCCGTACTGCTTGCTCATGATAGTAGTCCTGATTCCTTTCTTTACTTGTTCCTCGTTGCGTACGTCTGTCACCTCTTGTACAACTAATGTCTGTAAAATTTCCAGAGCTTTCTCCAAAGCATTCTCATAGCCTTCGACTATCTCAGAAGTTGTAATCCCCTATAATTAAGAAACTTATGTAAATTATTTATACAATTACATACAAATCCTGTCTATGTAAAATGTCCTATCAAGATGAATGTAATCTTAAAGTAATTCACTTTTAAGGAGTAATTTTGTAAAAATAAAAGCAATTATTTCTGATATACCTTGAAACTAAGAATTAACGTACCAAACGAAGTAGCTCTTCTGCATTATGAAGCAGTGCTCCAGCAAAAATAATAGCAAAGTTTGTCCCATCTCCTACTTCTGCTTCCTGCATCTTTGATGCTAGAACTAGTAACTGCGCAGCTGGATGTTCTACTTCCAGCTCGCTGATAATCGTTGCTGCATCGTTGGTTACAAAAAGTTTCTCAATATGATTGATGACCATCTTATTCATACCATTAGGTCCATATGCACTCCTCACAGTGTCTGCTAATTGCTTGCAGGCCGTTATGTTCCTATAGACAGCTTCTTCAAGGCCTGAATAGTACTGAAGATACAAAATAACAAATGACTCATCAAAAGACACCTCTCTTTGTTACAAGTAAACGTTTGGTTCAAACAAAACACAATATCAAATAGTTTATTCTTGATACATTACTATTTAGTCGACAGTGAACATCAGTTACATTACATCTATAATTTCTATCTATGTTATAATTGACACATATATTGTTATTGCATTTAGATTATTGAATGTGTGTGTGCAAAATTATTACATAGATGTAATATAATTGACGCTCGATATTGACTAGGCATTTTATTATTCAACAATCAAATATAATTAGTTTACGAAAAATGGTTGATGAGAATAAATTCCATGTATATCTCATCATTGTCAATTGTACTTCAATGAGACTTAATTAAAATTCTCTAGAGTCAAAAGTTCGCCGGTATACTAAAACTTTAAAATGCCTATAAAAGGTAAGAACAAGCCGATCTCTCCTTCGCATAGCCTTTCCGGAAACGAACATCAAGTCAGTCAAAAGAGCCGCATGACAATTTATGATTACTGCGACAAAACTGCACTTACGCGAGCCCCATCCTTGAGCATTTGCGCTACTCCGGGAGCTTTCGGTACGTGCATAGCCATTTTCGTAGAAAATTTCGATAATTTTCACCTTCTCACATGTGACACACGACAACGCGCTTTCGTCTCCAAAACGGCACGATCGAGATTTTTCTTTGGGAAGGGCTTCCAACAGCTAGGAATATTTGCGCCGATAAAACGATCGCGCTACGTCGTAACGCGCTGATAGGCTGTGACATAGGAAATTATATAGTACTCATGTGCACACATCTTACAGCCAATTAGAACTTTTTACATAAATTTGTGTATAATATTAATTATTACTTAGAAAATATTACACATAGGTATATTTTATTTTACATTTATTTGTTCTTTATTCATTTAAAAAATTAACGTATTTAAACATCGGCGATTTAGCTGTAATAAACTATTTGCGTATCTTAATTGCAGAAAGAAAAAATATTTATTCATGTTATTCGAATATTACGTCAATAATCGTACATTCATAATATTAATTCTTCACCAATATAGTTTAGCTTGTGTAAAATATACTAAAAGATCGGTTCACAAAGAAAATTTCTAACCTAATAACATCGCGAACGATGTGTTAAGTGCGGAGGCGCCTTAAGGGATTGGCACAGGAAGGAAGAGGATAAAGTGTATCATCCCGATTCGTTGAAAGAAAAATAGACGGGTCGTGAAATAAAGTGTGAATAAGAGAATTCGCGAACGAAGCACGCGAAATCGAATCCAACTAACGGGGTCTCGCAGTTTTTACGAGCGGCAATCCAAACTTCTAACGTCCAGGGGTCCAAGGTAGCTTCGATATTGCGGTATATTTATCGTTCGTGTTCTTTGCTTCTTTTCCGCTTGTCCCTTCACCGTTCTTCTGTTATTACGTGAACGGAAATTGCTTTTGGTGACATTTTCTAATATCTGTCGTACGTTGTACACAGCTGTTATGGACATGGTGATCTCGAATTTGCAACAGCAACGTCAAGTGACGGAGCAGCTGCGTCGTGAAGCCGCTCTCAGGCGGATCACGGTGAGCAAGGCCGTGGAGGATATGATGAAATACATCACTGAACATGAACAAGAGGACTGTCTGTTGGTGGGCTTCTCGTCGCAGAAGTCCAATCCCTTTCGTGAGAAAAGCACGTGTGTTGTCCTTTAAACCCACGTGCTTGCAATGAAGAAGGATCATCGCATGACACGCGAAAACATTTCAGTTCTTGTTCTCACTTGCGTGTCAATTCAATGCAACGACAAGCGTATTTACTAATGTATCTTTTATTAAGTAGGATACAAGCAATTTTCTTATTAAATTATTCTATGCGTGAACATAGGACAAGAAAGTAATGATATTTGTGACTATTTGTTGGGAGAAATAGCTTTTTGTCCTAAGATTTGCTAACATGAGTGTTTTGTGTTTACAAAGTTTCTGAAATTACTACTGAAATTTTATAGAGAATCTTATATGAATCACAAAAAAGTTTATATCTGTCTTTTTTATAATTTATAGCCTCTTTGAAAACATTACAATCTTGAGATATACTCAGAGAAAACAATGTATTTTTATATACATATAAAAGAGAATACTATTCATATTTATATACCTATTTAAATTGTCAGAATGATAGTCTGGTTGCCAAAAACAGACTCCATATCCAGACTAATATTATTATTTATAGAACATGATAAAACATGATTTGTAATAATAATAATGAAGCATTTTGACAATTAATCTAAGTAGGAGTATATGGAACATGTGAAGAAATTGATACTAGCTTGTAATTTCTGTGCTTTAGATGAATCTTCATAGCATATATTACACAAATCAGTCTTATCTCAATGCTTTGATGAAGTGCCTATATCAAAGTCCAAGACTGACAACAGTGAAGTAATGGTTACAGAATAAATATCCTTTTATTTTTAAGAAAAATATATTTGATACACATACATATTATAATACTTCCTGGACAAACTGTTGAATAAAGTGTGAAACATGTAAAACATGATCTCATCTTTTATATATAAATATCTACCAGGCAATATCTATCCTTCTTTTCAAAGTATTTCTTTATCATGTAAAATTATATTTTAATAGCAATGTATAATAATTAGGTAAATCTCGAAGCTGAACTATGGGTGTCAATATATAAATTTATCAAATTACATTTTTTTTTAAAGATAAACTAAAAGCATATGTGTGCAATTTCTTTCCATTAAAGTTTCGACCTTATTTCACTTCAACGAGCTGTAAAATTATTCGATAGTTACGCATTACCTGTTTTGCTCCGATTATATAATTATATATAATCGCAAAATTATGTGTTGCTTTAGTTTGACTCTTTTTTTCTTGCTCTTTTTGCTTTTGGTGGTACGTCAGACTTGTCCAAGTCAGAATATATATTCTTAAACTCAGGAACAAGTTCCTTTATTTTCTTGGAAGTTTTTGAAACTAAAAATACAAAAAATTACCAATTACCAATTACTTATAATTTCATGTAAATTTACTTGCAAAACGGAGAGATTTGTACATCCTGTACATCCTTCTCGATTAATTCAGATCCTACCATGTTCGTTGCGGCGTTAACTACTTACACGACTCTTCGATAGTATCGACCGGTGGAGGACCGTGTTTCTTATCCAGAGCTAATTTTTCCACTATTTGTATTTGACACTCCAACTTGTAAGATCTAAACATGTACGGGTGATACATCATATTTAATTGATCGATAGCTTTTTTCCATAATTCGATCTCCTTGTTGGTTACTTGATTCTGTGTTTCATAATGATATAACACATCACTCTTGTCTCCTATGCTTCCTAAGGAATACAATTTATTCTCATTAAATGACTTTTTTAAGTGTTACATAGAACATGAGAAAAAGAAACTAAATATATATGCACAAGTACCTTGGTAGGAGACTTTTGATAAGTAGAAACCACCGAATTCCACATTCGGGATCATGTAACAGAGATTAGTTTGAGTGTTCATTCGCATTGTAAACGCACAGACTATCATCTTGCCCGCAGCGGCGCATTTGTTTAATAAAGCGGCAAAGAACAATAGATTATCTGCAAAAAAACGAGATGCTCAACACTTTACTGTTACATTAAAATATATAAAGTGAATTGGTCAGTGTACATGTGCATTTATTTGTAAAGTTCACATTACCTTTACGAGTGCTACTGTGATCTGCTCTGATAAAGTACTGTCGTTTCACGTGATACCGAAAGAGATCATTCGGTACAGGTTTCACGCCGATTAATTTAATACCTGGCGGATATATATGCTTCACTCTGGAAATCTCTTTTTGCGTAAAACGCAATTTCCTGCCACCAATCAACTCCTTGGTTTCCAAGTTAACTTCCTCCGGTATCATATAAGGCAAGTTAGTTTCTTCATCGTCACTGTTCTCCTGCAATATAAATCAACATTTTAAAGTGATAAATGTCGAGAGAATTCGAGACAGTATATATAAAAATTGTTTTACATATTACGCGAGCAAAATTTACCTCATTGTTCAAATCCTCGTCAAGTCCCTTTATGTACGTTGATCTCAATAAAACTTGACCGGTTTTTTTACTTAGCGGCTTCGTTTGCAAGCACCTACGTTTTCTGCATAAACATGTTTACAATTTTATTCTATTTTATTTTATTTTATTGTGTGATAATATTAGGAAAATTATATATCTAATGATAATTAATATTTTTAAGTCTCACCTGCCCAAAGTACGCACGACTAGATCAAGCTCCAAATCGTCGCGTATCTTGAAGGATAATCGCCCAATGTTTTTAGACGGCGCTTTAATCTGCTGCACCAAGTCTACCAGAGATGTCATTTTGTAAATAGCTGCATCTGTCTTTCTCGATAACATCTCTAAATCTTCGTAGAATTTATCGCGCACCCAATTCTTGCCCAAACCGATCACGTGCAATTTGATGTCCAGGTTTTTTAATGACGCTGCTTTTGACCTGATTCGATACTTCTCATTTTCCTCCAGCGCAGGATTGTGGCAAGTGATCAGAACTATTCTGCGTTTAGTGAGCACAGTTTTTATCTTCAAAAAAATATCCATTGCATATGACAGTACATCAAAAAGTGGATAAGTATTGTCAGACTGCATACTCTGGTAGCATTTTATACTTCCTTTTGCTGTAAAAGACATTGAAATAATGTTAGAAAATAGGCGGATAAAAATGTTATATAGTATTTTTACAACATGCTGCATTTATTGTTAATTGTGCCTATTTTTACTTAGTTTTCTGATATGCTGCAGATCATCCAAGGTGACAACTCTCAGTTGTTGTAAAGTCTGAATGTGTTTCCAACATGAATTTGCATCATTCTGCTCAGTGCCAAATAATATTACACCCATCCAATCTTGCATATTCCATGCTAGCTTTTGTCGAAGTATTTGTTTGTACAGCTAAAGAAACAATGCTGATGATAATTATGCATATGAGATTTATTAGCTAGTTTTGTTATCAAAATAAAATTGAAAGAAAGATTAAAATATATCTAATGTTTGTATAAAGAAATATAGTATATAGCAAAGATTAACCTTGAAAAATTTGTGGATATAGCTGAGTTTTGTTTCGGGATCTTTTTCAAACATTTTTTGTGTTGCATCAACGACAAACAATGTGGCTTCCCTTACTCCATACCATTGACTTATTTGAGAATCTTCTTCCTCATCCATATTGTGACTTTGCATACTGACTGTTATTTCTACTATCACTATAATGCCATGATTTGTTAGTTTGATAAATATTCGATAAATGTGGGAGAATAAAAAATATATATGCAGGAAGGTGGCATATGGGAGAATAAAAGATATATATACAAAACAGAGTAAGAGTTTATATAACTCAGATATTAAAATATACATAAAACAACAAATTTAACATGCTATCTTAAATAAGAGAATTATTTCAGATTAAAATAAAATAAATATGATAACTGATCAAAGCGACAATGACTCAGAAAGCTAAGATAATAATGATAGGAATTAAATGTGGAAATAAACTTACATGTACATTCACGAGTAAATTAGTTTTTAGATTTTCTGAGGTTAGCAGAATCCATCAACTACTGATAGCCCAACGCAAAATACTAATTCTATTATTAAAAATTATCACAAATTTCTACTGAATGTTATTTCTCACAGGATAAATACAAAATTATAAAGGCGAATTTACATGTACAACGTACGTAGTCGCATTCACTTGATTCAGAGAATACCAATCGGTGTGTTCAGGAGACACAACGATTACACAACGGTTGAGTAATTAGTTAACGTAATAATATGGTCTAAAGTTAGGGATTTAATAGTAAGAACCAATAATCACTGACCGCTCACTGATCAGCTATGTTTTCTAAACGCAACCAATGATATCGCTCATACTAGATGAGGTTTGTTCTTTATAGTTGCACTAAGGTGCAAACGTATGATTAATTCTGTATACAAAATATATGTAATTACAATTGGAATAGTATACAATTATACACAGAAATAATACAGAGATTGCACTGTATTTCTCAAATAAGATTCACAATTTTAATAAGAAAAATAGATACAGTAAATAAAAACAGTTTCATTTTTATTTGAAAATGACACCACATTTTAAATTAAAATTATTTTGCAAAATAAAATGTCTCGATATTATTATGTATTACATGAAAATCCCTAATAATTACATGAAAATAATAAAGTTTAAATATATTTGAACTTTTTTTTTATATTATATTATAAAGAGAAAATACAACAAATTTCTAATAAATACATTAATAAAAACACATACATTGTCCTTCAAATCCAGATGTTTGAAACAAAGCGCGAAAATGTTTAAACCTCTATTTTATTATATATTAGTTGCAAAAATAAATATATTTACTAACGTCATTTTTTATGCATTTTGTGTTTACAAAGTTTACAAGAAATTTACAAGAAGTTATAGAATCTAGTACAAGAAAAAATTTATACATGTGTCTGTGTGTGATTTTTCTACAATCCATAATTACTAACAAAATATTACAATGTTGATATATGTCTGGAAAAAGTAATGAATTTTATTTGATAAATTTTATACTTTTGTACATATGTGTGAGAAAATAAACATAATTTATGTTCTTCATTATTCATGTTCTTATTTATATTGTCAAAATGATTATCTAATTGCCAGGAGTAGACACCATATTTAAAGTAGTATTATTTACTTGTAATTATAATGAAATTAAATTGTTAATTATAATGAAATTTATAATAATAAATTTATAACAATGCATTTTGACAAAATAAATAAACTTAAATAAAAGTATATGAAATGTAAAGAAATTGATGTTAGCATATGATCTAACTTAATCTTTGTGTTTTTGTACTTTGTGAATCTTCATAGTAAGTGAAAGTATTACATATATCGTAAGATCGTGATTGTATGACACAATTGTCATAACCCAATATAAGTACTAACAATAACATTACATCAATATTAGTATTTCCAATTCAACAATATAACTACACAAATACAACAATGTAACATGCAATGTTATACATAACATACATGTATTTTATTGCACTTATATACTATTAAGTAGTAAATTATAATACTGGTGTAATAACTGACAATTGGAGTTTACTGGTAATCATACAAAAAGAAAAAAAAATCAACTTTTATTTAATCTTAATATATGCAATGGAACTTCTCATGTCGAACATAGGTTATCAGCTGCTACAGATTTTTAAAATTAATCATTCCATTTGCTTTTAGCTAATAACTGTAGTCAAACTACTAAATAATATCTACTGTTTTCATCTAAATATTGTAATCTTAAGCATTTATGTATACATGACGTTGCATCTTATAGATAAATATTTAAACTGAAACAATTTTGCTACCATAGTCATAGTAGTTTTCAAACCATGGACTAAGGTTTATACATACATGTATACATATAACTATCTAGTAACTAAATATATGCTAAACTGAATATATATTATTCTCAGTCGAAGCTCACTTTTCTTATAACCTTTAACTTAACTATAACTTTTAATTGTATATCAATGCTTTGAGAAAAAATGGTTATTAGCTTTAGATTTCTGTGAGCATAAAGTCATAACTCTTACACTTTGGGCATTGTTCATGATCATGTAGAAAAACAATCTGTAATAATAAATAACTGTAGTCGCAATACTTTATAATATTTTGAAATTCCCAATAAATTGGAAAAATTATCAAAGATTTTAAGGATAATAAACAACACTTTAAAACAATTTTATTATACAGTACCTGAGGATGTTGTGGACAGTAATAACGTACTCTTCCCTTGGTCCAAAAGCCACATCCATTACAGATAATATTTGAATGTGGCCTGTAACAAATACATTCTGACGATACATTTAGATCCTTTTGGTTATACTTGATATCCTTTTTCAAAAAACCAGCCTCCATCTTGTTAAGTCTGTTGAAAAATGTTGAAAAATGATGTTAAGTCTGTAAAAATGTTGAAATTAATATTATCTGTTTATTAAATATAATCATTCTTTATCCTGTGAATCAAATAATAAGATTGTTGTATAAGTAAATAAAACAATTACGACATTATAAAATATATATAAACTATAAAAATTATAATATAAACTATATTATAACATAAACTATAAAATGATCGATATTTCTCACATGTATAATTATGAAAAAATAATGTAATTATGAAGTAACCAAGATTTATGCTTTAATATTTACGCCTATAGATATTTTTATATTAATAAGATAATAGGTACATGCGGTTACATGTGGTTACAACGTAGATCGTCGCAGAATAACTAAAAAAAGAAGTAAATTAATTAATACTCACTTAAATATCTGAACGATACAATGTAATACGCAATTAATCGTCAAATATATATATACGTGTATACTGAAACTTTCAAACTGTCTTTCAAGAATCCTTTAGCCCTCTAGCTGAAGGAGACAGAACAAAAACAAACAATCGAGTGAATCATTCTTCTTCTTTCTCTTCTTATAAGTGGCTGTCGAATGCCCGCGCTTTTCCCAAATCGTCAATATCCAACTGCGTGAAATCTTCTGCTAATATCAAATTAGACGTTAGATTTAGACTTAGACTTTCAAATTACAATTTTCAAATCCGTAGTGTGCTAGTGTTTACTTATAGTATATAGTATATGTTAAGATATATTACGAAACTACAATTAACAACAGCTATAAATTCGGTAAATTTGAAAGGAATCGACTAGGTGATTGGATCTGTTGATTATTCACATTTGCTGTATAGTAAGTGAACAATTTTCCCAGACAGCACAGGATATTTATAGGACATCCATTTCATATTTTATATATCTATTTTACGTCCGTATGTCTAGAGATATGAAATGGACGTCCGCAGGACATTCGATTTTAAACATGAAACGGATATCCTCATCAGTATATTTTATGTACTTTTGATATATGTCCAAGATAAAACAAAATTCAAAATATGTTAGAGGACGGTTTTATATATGTTTTAACGGTTTACCCAGACAGCATACAATATTTACGATAAAGATTCATAAATATTGATTTCGAATTATTTTTTAAAAATATTTTATAAATATTTATATACATAGAGAAAAAAGTATCAAAATCTTTATTCAAAATATTATTAAAATACAGGCTAAATATTTTATACAATATTTACGATAAAAATTCATAAATATTTATTTCGAATTATTTTTTTAAAATATTTAATAATTTTTTAAAAATATTTTATAAATATTTATATACATAGAGAAAAAATACCAAAATCTTTATTCAAAATATTATTAAAATACAGGCTAAATATTTTATACAATATTTATAGTAAACAAAAAATAAATATTTGTAGTAACATTTTATAAATATTTCTGTAAATATTATATATGAAAAAATTAATGTAATTATTTATAATTATTAAATTAATGAAGAAATAAGAAAATCAAAATTTAAATTAGTAATATATACTAAAAAAAATTCTTTAAATCAAAGAAATATATTTTTTAAATATAATTTCTTAACTTAAAAAAATATTTGTTACATTTTAAAAAACATAATAAACATAAAGTAATATTTTTTTAAATTTGTAAAATAAGCTGTAAAATTATAAATTTCTAGAGAAAAATGATCTTATAAGAAGAAAATTTTTTAAATGTAAAAATTGTTTAAATAAATATTTGCTTGTTTTAAATTTTATTATATATTTTAAAAATTTAAGAAAAGTTTTAGGAAAAGAGAAGAAAGTATATAATTTAATAATATAAGTATATATTTTAATAAATATTTTTATAATATTTATAATCTATTGAAGTTAAGGTCATAAAAATATTTATGAAATATTTTGAAAATATTTATAAAATATTCAAATAAATTTTATAAATATTTTGTAAATATATATTTTATAAATATTTTGTGCTGTTTAGGTATATATGATTCATCCTTTTAATTTACAAATTACAAAATTATCTTGTAAATTATAAATCCGGATGCTACTTTATATACCCATTGAACGTCCATCGGATATCCCGTGGACATGTCGGGGACTTTAGCATGTCCTCCAATTTCATAAACGGATATGCTACAAATGTTCATTGAATGTCCGAAGAACGTAAAATAGATGGCTTCCATAATATCCGGATATCCATAATATCCTTAAAGGACATCTTATGGATATCCATAGGATATCCATATGCTGTCTGGGTTACGTATAAAGAATACGTCATGGATCGCGCTTATAGTATTTAATTTTTTGTGATATTACACTCTTGTGTGTTTCAAATCTTGTTTGTTTCAAAGTGATTAAGTAACTTCATCGTAATAATAAAGAAATATATAAATTTATGAATAAAAAGTAATAAGTAATCACACACACATATTATTAGAATATCATAAATGAAAATATAAATAGAAAATTGTTTTACTTGAGGAAATAAATCCTTTTAATCATTATAAATTCAATATCACAAATTCCTTATTTGTGATATTGAATTTACCTCTTTATTTACGTTATCTATCGAAGTGGGGTGCAATGATTGGGAGAATCATAAGAAGTATCATGTCTGGATTCTAATTAATGTATTGTATTTTTTTATATATACAAAAACATATACGTGATTGTATAATTACAGTGCTCAAATGTAATCTCTTTCGTCACACCTTCAATCCAACGTTGCATTCTCCAACGCGATTCATGTGTAAGAATATCGAAAAATGATTTATACGCAATCGACACTGAAAAATGAGGCAATATTGATCGTCATTTTTCAACTTCTCGTTATGAATCTTTACAACATGGGTCGAGTTCTCCGAACAATTTGTATCAAATCAAAATCAATATGATTCACGATATATCAAGGGAATTTCATGTCAACGTTACATCTATTTTCGCCTTAAATTTTCTAAGTTTTCTATGCAATTGGATTGACACATATTTTCCATTTCGTTCAAACTTCTTTGATTTTCTTGAGCGAACAGAAGACTTTCTAAAGTAGATTAAAATTTTGGTTTTAACTGATAAAGTTTTTGATATTCGTTTTTCCTCAATCAATATCTCCTTGGTGTTTCGCGTTCGCTTCGTAATGTTTGTTACGATACGATGGGAAACGATAACTTTAAAATCATATTCACGTAATGTAGAAGGAAAGGCGTTTCGATCCTAGTTCGATCAGTTATCGGACGTGAATCGAGATTTCGCTCTCACGCTTAACATCTATAAACAACAGTAAAGGTATTTCATAAAAATATATCAGTGCCTGTCTCACTTCCATGAATACTGGAGCTTTATCCTTACAGAGCTTGTATTGTAACGGTGTCCCGTAAAGAGATAAATAAAATTATAATGCTGCAATAAATCTCTCTCTTTCTCTCTTGTTATAAAATAGCGATCAAGCGCTAAGGTATATTTGAAGATATCTCGAAAAGTCGTTAAAAATTCACATCTCCGACATTTTCTCGAATTCGACAGAGGATCTTTCGGAAGATTAAATTTGAAATACATTTTACATATCTGACAATTACGCTTTCACAAAAAAAAAAGAAAATATTCATCAGTAGCGCTTATCGCTATGTTATCGCAAGATACAGGAGAATCAGAAAGAAATATCGCGGCTGGTAGGTACCGGAGATTCTGCGTCTATTTAAAACTTGCACGTCGTTCGCGCCGCATGGAAGACAAATCACAAGATCAGTCGACATTGAACGCGAGGAAAAAATAAAGGTCTTCTTTTTCAGCTGCCTGCACTTGCCCAGAAGTTTGTTGATGCGTGTCGTAAAATTCTCCGACGCACGTTTCGAAGCGCTGTTAAGTTGCTATTAATCTTCGCGTACGGAGACACCGTAGTTTAGGTACATGGAGTATGTAGGAAACTTTGTTTTGAAAAATGTATGTAAGTACACGATAAAAATAATTTACATTTACACGTGATTTCTATTTCTCTCTTTTCCTTTCTTTCTCTCTCTCTCTTTCTTTCTCTCGATTATCTTACGTATAAAATTACTTCGGTACATAATTGGCATTTATTTGTGAGGATTGGACGCGATTTCTATCTCGCGCGTCTCATAGAGATTTTATATGTATATATTCTCGAATTTCGTTCGAGCTAGCAAAGCGATTTGTACAGCGTTGTAATACAAAAGTTAGAGATCTTCACGAAGATGCTCGCGACAAAATCGACATGTTAATATATATTTATAGTTGTGCACGGTGTTGTATGAAACACGTCACGAGGAAAATAATCGCTATATTCCGTCAAACAAATATGTTTTTCATTATTTTATTCTCTGAAATTTATATTTGCTTTGCTCTTTTTTTAGTCTTTCTACTATTCGCGATAACTGAGCATATATTCGTCAGCTATTTGTTTCTCCGTCCTTGAGACTTTCAATTTTGTCTCGCACGCAATTTCGCTTTGTATGTTCATGTAACGAAGTATTATTCCGCGAATTTTAATTTACGATACTGTTAATGAATAGCTCCAAAAGTAATTTTGTAGTTAAAAAAGAGAAATGTTCCTAATACATACACAAATTATTCTCCGTATTATTATTCCGTATTATTATTCCGTTTGACAATCGCGACGATTTCTTAGGAGCTTAGGATATAATTTAACTCTAAGTACGCGTTTGTGTGATCGACACGTTCGTTTATCGCTAAGGTATTTAGATTAGAGGAAACCCGCGCGAAATGAGACGGAGCGAGGGCGTTAAAAACGAGAAAGTGCAGTCGATGCGATCAGACTGCATTCGTTGGCTGCGCAGGATATCGCTTCGTACGCGATTGAGAAGTTTTAGCCACCTATGTTTCGCTGAAGAATAATCCTTGGTAATAAATACTCCGTGATATAATATATATCCACATGATCTCTCGTAGTCAACAAATATATCATCTTTCATCAGGTACACAAGCGATAACGGGTTACAAGCTTGAGTCGAACGGCTGCTGCGAAATTCGGGATTCGATATAATTCGCTTGGCACGGTTCTGATTCATAGAACGTCTGAGTAACCAGCCGATCATATGCGGATCGATTCGCAGAATATAAACGTCATCGCACGTCACAGGCAATATTTTGGACCGCACAGAAAGAACTTCTCTTTTTATCTCGATACGACGTGTATATAGACTAATTCACGTTTAAGACGGAACATTATTCGCGCGCAGCGCCGATCCGGTCGATCGATTGGGTCAGTCGACGCGGCTCAATCGCACATATTACGAAATATATAGTTGATTCTTTCAGGTAAAACGGTGATTCATTCACGCATTCATCGTCGCTCCTGCACATCAAATTAGCTTAACTCGAATAGCCATCGAAATGACGATGCTAGAGAGAACTCACGGAGTTTTCTCTTCCTCACACGATTAAGGCCGTTGCAAAATGTCAGGCAACAGGCAATAGCAACAGGGAATAGGAATTCAAATTGGTCAATTATTTTTATTCCCTGTTCCTATTAGTTAATGCCCATTTCTATTGCCTGTAGCTTGGCATTGTGCAAGGGCCTTTAATGATCTGTGATTTCTTTGAAAACATGCAGTACCATCACAATTCAAATTTAAATACATCGACTACCAAAGATTTCTTATCATATTTGTTACAAAGTAATATCCATATCTCTTTTTATATATCTAGCACCATATATCTCATGAAGTTGCTCATTGCTCTTATCTAATATGAGAAATGATGATACAAACAGAAAGAACAGCGAAGTTAGAGATAAAAGTTAAATAAGTCAAAAAAATTAAACAGAAAAAATAAGAGAAGTAAATAAAAAGACATTGTCGCGTCCAGATAACTCTAAGATGAATGTTGTCTAAATGGAAATGTTAATGTAAAATATAATCCAAACGTTTCATATTGAAAATGACTGATTGACGAACGAGATATAGAGGCCTCCAGTTTCCATCCGCAAGACGAAGTCGCATCTAAAGTTCTTCGCAAGTAGGATTTTGTGACTAGCAAACATTTGTTTTCGGAACACATTCAATATACGATGAGAGGACGAGGGATTCACGGGTCCCTGTTTTCAGCATGCAAACAATTCATACGCGAACGCCAACGCCGTTGTCGGCCTTGATTTCTGACACGACATCGAACGTGGGAGTGCAGATGTCGGTAGGCGTAGGGATGGCGAGGGGCGCCAGTCGCGAGTTCCTTTTGACCGGCGGGTCTTTCAGGATATAACTCGTGCAGGGCCTGACTCTCAGTCTGCTGGAATGTACAGACGGTTCCAGCCTGAGAATTGCACAGGATCGCGTCGACGAATGTCTCACACGGTGCACTGACTCCGTGGATCGGCTCTGCATTGCTGCCTCGATGACGCACCTCTTCAGGTTCATCGTCGACACAGAGTTGTACGATGGAGCGTCTCGCTCGGAGTCCGGTGTGAATCCGGGCGTGAGACCGGGATCGTCATTCTCCTCAAAGGACGTGAAGATGTCGGAATCAGGTACCGACGGTGCGCTGAAAAAGGACTCGCGCAAGGACGACGTGAGAGCGTCGGGACACATAAAAGGATCCAAGGACGTGAGGTCGTTGAGGTCGCTGCCGCTGTTACAGCATGTTTGAAAATTATTGACCGAATAAGAGGACGGAAAGGTCGTTTGATGCTCGGTCACGCTCGATAGAACCTCTTGACTCCTAGACGATTCCGACCACTTCGAGTCCGAAGGCCGTCTCGAGCTGAATCTCGTGGAGTCGTGCTCGGCGAAGATGGGCTCCGGCAATCTCGCGTCTCTGCACTTGTCCGAGTTCCTCAGCAGCGCCTCGAATAGATCGATCGGCTCCAACGTTGGTGTGTTACCGGATAAAAGATCGTTCCCCGACACGTCTTTGCCGATTGCGCATTTATCGTTCTCGGATGGTTCGCTGAAATCCTCGATGTTCAGCAACACGGTCGGTATCACCGGATCCGAATATCTTACTGGACTGCTTCGTTTGCCTAAAGGCGACTTGGTACGTTGCGTCACGTCGACGGGTATCGGGATCTCAAGGCTTTGCGCCTCTTCACTCTGCAGAGATGCCGAAGGCAATGGATCTATAGGACTCGGCGGTTCCGAATGTATCGTCGGCACGATCAAAGAGTCCATCAGGTTAGATGGCTCCAATAATGTTACACGCGTCGTCGGGTCGATTGCATTGATCGACTCGGAGTGCTTTAATATATCCAAATTCCTTCGTGTTTGCATCAGAGTTCTGGCAGTAAGGTCTATTCGTGTGTGTGCGCTTCTCGACGGTGGGTCTAGGTTGATCAGATTCGCTAACTTGTTTGGCGTGATCGTCACGTGTCCGGGCGATGCACTTCGCCTTGGAGTGTTCGCATAGCTCGGCTTAGCGCTATTGGACACCGACGAGGACGGTGTAAAGTCGCTTTGCAGTCTGAGATTCAAGTTTGGACTTGCGCGTCCGAAGCGACGCAACTTTCGTCGCGGGTGTGGCGAAGTTTTGGCTCTGCGTTGATCCTCCATCTGCTGACAGAGCATCATCGTGTGCCTGGCTAACGCGTCCTCGTATCTGCTGTGATTGAGGTCGAGATTCTGCACGGAGTAGCCGCGACTCTCCGCGTCGCTGCCACTCGCCGGAAAGAGCTTCGAGCTCGTCTGAGAAGCGCGTCCCGTAGTCTCTTTGATGTTGGAATCTGACATGGACGATAAGTGGGAGTCCCACTTGTTGCAGACATCGTTATTGTGGCGGAGCACCTCGTTGAAGTCCTTGGTCTCCATCACGGGACTGTCGGCGTTCAGCATCGGGTCGGAGAGTGCGTTCAGTTGAAGGTACTTGCGACTACTGTGCGCTCCGTCTGTGCTTTTCAAATTCTGATAAGATATGAACTTCGGCTCATTGATGAGTGGGAAGTTTTTGTTGTTTATTCGCTTGCGATTTAGCAGTCTGAGGTGCCGTATCTTGCTGAAGGTCGGATCCAGCAGATACTTAAGGTTCTTGATCTTATCGATGTTGTGATTCGAATCGATGACATGGCTCCTGTCGATGATATACTTTGGATCGAGCATCTTCGTGAGATCATGGATGTTTTCCTCGATGATGTCACCGTGCCGGCTGCTGGACGAGGCGGCGCAGTCGGCGTCGTTCTTTTCGGGAGAGATATTGGTGTGCTTACCCGATATCTCCAAGCACCTCCTGCTGGCGTAGAGCACGCCGGGATGCTTGGCGGCGAAGCAATCTTCCACCGGATGCCGCCTGCTCTCGTTGCTATTGTTGATCTCGGCGAGTTCCAGGTTCGTGTTAGTGCCGCGTCTCGCTGGCGAGCAGCCATAGCGACTCGGCATCAGACAGACCAAGGCGATCAGGTCGCCCGCGATCTTACCCGCGGCCACGCGCATCTCGCCGTGATGGAATGCGTAGATCCAGGGATTCACGCCGCTGTGTGCCAAGATCGGTAGGCCCAGCCACACCACCGACCAATCCGATAGAATGTTGGTGCCGCAGAAAATATCCACCAGCATGCAGGTCTGAAAAATAAGACGAGCGTATATTCGACGTTGAGCCCAGTGTCGTGTTCATCAAGCAACGACGTTGCCAAAAAAGATATCGATTTCCGAAGAGAGAAACGCCAAAGCCGACATGGGAAACGCGCCCTTTGAAGTTCCTCTATCGGCCTGCCGCGTATCGAGCAATTATTTCACGATGCATTTCTCGCATGTGTTTTTTGAAAGGGCAAAAACGGGAATGCGGGTGAAGGGAGGAGTTGGTGAAATTCGTTCTGATGTTGTTGGAGGGCGCGCGAATTTTCCGTGTTGCGCCGGCAAAATCGGCGACGCGACCAACGATTTCTCATTTATAAATACGGCTATAGAGCGCAACATTTTGAATAAAATCACGCAAATTTGCATTATAACAACGTTTTCATGCCACGAGAGAAAGGAAGAGGTGCGCGGAGTCATTGTGGAAATGTTCGCGGTTGTTCGCGCGGTCTCACCGCGGCTTTTTTAATGCACGGAATTTGAGGGAAATAACAAAAAGGACAAAGGTCAAACTGACTACGCAGTTTGTACTTTTTTTCGTCGCTCGTAACTATCGTTTCCGTCACATATACGCTCCTGTTATTTCGTGACTTACGACGGTGCTTTCGACGTTCGACGGTACTTTCGCTCGCCAAGGACAAGCCGAGACATAAGGTCCAGAAAATCTCTCTGTTCGAACTTGTTGATCCTTAGATCGTACTCTGAATCAACGTTCAAAGCATTCGAGACTACTCCCGCCGCGATTATTCGCGTTGCGTAGTGCAATTATAAAAATTTTTTGCTTGAAATGCCAGTCGGTACCTCGCGACAAAGTTTGCGCGTACCTCTCTTCTCTTTTTCCATCTTCAAAGGTAAAGACATTCAACAAGCAGGGAGAGCACGATCACGATATCGTGTATCGAATGACCTTTCATTTTAATTTAAGTTTTCCTCTCTTGCGACTTGCCCTGTATCAGCGCGCGTTGATCTTGCCAACATAAACACGAAGAGCCGAGCTTGGAAGAGAGAATATATATCGCGGTTTCGCGAGCACCATTTCGCGAAACGAAATTTCACGCGAGACGATAAACGCGTTTTACCTCCCGCCGCAATGAACGCCCCGAGCCTGATCCTCTTAGCTACTGCACGCGCTAGGCTCGATTCAGTTGGCGGAGATAACGCGAGAGGTAAAAAAATGCACATATTATGGCACGATGCGGGGTAAACAAGTCATTATCTGCTATGTCCTAAGATAATCGCTCGTGACCGAGATAAACGTCAGCGACTTCGGATGGGAAGGGTTACCCCATAAACAGTTTAGGTCGATAGGGATTAAACAGATGAATAAGATAGACGAGCAACTATGAGCGACGGTAAATTAATGTAAATGCTTGTCTCAGAAGAAATGTATCGACATATTGTGCAATAAGTAATTTTGGATTTCTTAGGTAAGATGAAAGGATTGCATTCTTTCATGTTCTTATAATTTTATGAAATAATGTATGCAAAAAGTGACAAAAAATCGTAAATTAGAGTTATACATATATTGTTTCATAAAATTACAACAACATAAAGATATAAACGTTTCATTTTACTTGGCAAACCTGAAATAATTTATTACACATCTTAATTATACATATTTTTTCTTTTTCAATTATGTGTGAAATACAATCCTAGTGGCAGAAAAGTTGCACTATTTTTTCTTGATGAATTTTGCAATGCATCTATATCCAATAGAGAAATTTGTTTATGAATATTAAATTGTCGTTGAATCAAATTTCTCTTTTGTAATTTTCAGAAGGTAAATTATTCTATCGAATGTGTTCTGAAGTTTATCTAGATAAAAATGCTACAGTCTCTCTGATTATCACTGGCTGTATGTGTTCATTAAGCATTATATTAAATATTACAAAAACTGACTTGATTATACGTAAGATTTGACGCGTCGGTTTTAATTAACGTTTGCGTGCTTTACACGCGTTTTCTGCTCTTTCTCTTGGGGATTTTTCGCTGATATTATTGCCGTCACCTTGGCAGGTACATCGAATATACAAGCTGTGAGTCGGGCGCCTAGATACCGTCTTATAAGCACTATATCAGACTTAAACCTCATTCCCGCGCCCGGTACAGGTACGTAGTGCAGCAGCGGCGAAATGAAATTGATGTCGTCACGTGTCTGACGTCTAAGTGGTGACAGAGCTTTAGTGGTCAGACACGGCGCTACGCGGAAACGCGCGTCAGTATGGCAAAGTCCCTCACAAGTCCCGTGGCTAAATGAGTCTGGACGCAAGGACTGTAAATCTTACACGACGACGGGAATTTGTTGACGGGAGTATGTTGTTTTACTCACTTGGAATGGAAGCCACAAGATGAGAAACGCGCCGACCGTGACTGCCAGCGTTTGTCCGTAACGAGGCAACGCCAAGGTCTGCGTTTGATGTCTGAACGACAGCTCCACCGTGTAAATCGCTCGTGCATGTGCACGCGCGACGAGGTAGACGTACATGTAGCAACTGAGCAGAACGAGGGCGCTCGGCGCCCAGACTGCCACGACCAGGAATACCCTGACTGGCGGCAGTACGGCCGCATCGAATCTACAGTGCGCGCTGCGGAAGAAATCATATAGGGAATAAGATAACGCATATTTTAGCACGCATACACATATCGATATTTTTCTAATATAACATGTGGCGTTATTTATATATAAATATTTACATATTATTATATGTAAATATATACACACACACACAAATGTAAATATATAAATATATCTGAATAAATAAACGTTGTAAGATAAGTGCTAGTCAGTCGCTCTTGAGACTGAACAAATTGTTTAACACTAGAACTATCAATTGTCGACCTACTTCTGTCAGTTGTCAAAATGTCGGAGTTTTGAAACATTTATTTGTTCTTCTTAGTTTTAATCGAGCAATTAATTGAAAATATAAATTGCACGGTTATAAGTTTGAGGATTTTTCATAAAAATTTACAAAGTTATATTGACGACAAAGTTAAATTTACGAGTTATATTGACTCCCTCAGTAGTCCTAGAGTGTTAATAAAGTTTTATCTAGCGAATCTGAGCTTTTGCGTGTTCAGGCTGATTCCTTATAGATACATTTCTTTACATCTTATAGAGTATTTTTAGAGAAATGAAACGTACGTATACTTTTCCACGAACGTGAAGCTCGCACGTGACGGTTACGCAACGTCATACGAGAGCGCTAATGAAAATTTATATCTCGTAAATACAGTGTGTGTCGAATATATAATATACGAGGGCTGCGAGGTGGAGCGTGTGCAGCATATCGCGGACAGGAGATCGATGACAGGTTTCCTCCCTTAGGTTGCTTTGATTGCGTGAAAGTACGCGTCACAGGGTAAAGAACCTCCTTGTCACCCTTTGTAGTCTACGTTTTAGCACATTACTTGATTGGTCGTGCACAAGCAGCGGCACGAACTGCGAGTTCACGAGGCGAGGAGCTCGCCTCCCTCGTCGGGACGGTGCAAGCAATATACCCGCAAAGCTAATACCCGCCGCAAGTCCTGGAAATGATGTAATTCGACACCCCGTGTGTTTTTATGTCGCGTCGATTGTATTACACAGTGCTGATTACCGCGGTGTAAAAATTGCCTCGTATTTACGTCGGATCCATATTAAAAAGATCGTCTAGGTAAATACCGAGTTAATTGCGCGCGTTTCCGAAGAATTACTGTCGCGGGGGTAATGAGCATTTTTAAATAAAACAGTACACGCGATAATATTTCTCCTGCAGTTGAATCTCACATTTCGAAGTTATTTCTAAACTTTTACTTCTAAACTTGAGAAGAACGGAACACGGGACAACGACACAGTGTCATCGCGAATTACGAGTAACGAAATGATAAAGTCCAATTCCTTCTTCGGAATAAAAGAAGCAGAACTGAGGAACCAACACTCCGATAAAATGCTAATTAAAAGATATTCTCGCAACCATTATGCAATATTAACATCGTCTCTCTGATAGAGCTGCTAAAGATCGTGGCATCATGCCACGTCGTAATTAAAACTACGTTACCGCCGTAAGTGAGGCGACGCTAAGCCCTTTGACGCAGCCCTCACTTTCTTTACATCAAAGCACCGTGATGGGATTTAAATAATGGAGGAAATGGTTGAGCTAAAAGTTCAAATTGTTCCGCATTTCGTAACATGATTCTACCTCACACGAAGAGAATATTATAGTTTCTTTTTTTCACATAAATTCCTTTCCGTTTCAGTATGTTTTTGGTAACCTAGAAAGAGACTGTCTTTCTCAGTGATGTATATTTTACTAAGAAACATAGCGAAAGTTTCGCTAAAAACATAGCAGATTTCGTTAGAAACATCGTAAATGTTTTAATAACACGTTTCAGTTCTTAAAGTAGAAGTAGCACATATAAAATGAAAGAATAGAGTAAACCACTGCAGAATGTTGATCTATCGCGCGGTTACAAAATCCTATAATAAATTTTACTATAAAATTCTTTCCATGTACGATTTCGCGCTCTGTATCTCACGCGTGTCGCACACAAATGAACTTAGTCGGTTTCAGTTATTATGTCACCTGTATGGCGCATCCGCTCTTCTCGAAACGGCACGTGTCACGGTATGGTGCGCAATATACATCTAAATCATATATACAAGTTTTCAGATAGAACCTCAATGCAATCTCTCTCGTAATTCTGTTCGGAACTGTAGGCGTCGCATCTAGAACACCCGTTTGAGTTGGCTATAACCAGCGACCGTTACACGAGAGGACTCATCGGATCAGTTTGAAATCGTTCATTAGCAAACGATTAATTCAAACTAATATGCGCTATTGGCGCGAGTCCCGACTGATTCGTATTCGTCATAACCGGTGGATTTAGTTGTTTTGTTCGTGTATGTCGCGCGTGAGTGGCGCAGTTAGGTGGCGTCTACGATCGTTCTCTTGTCCTTCTTAATTGCGAGACCAGTTTTTCTTTCGCGATCGTCTTTCCTTTTTCGCAGACAAGAAGTCAACGCAGATAAGAAGTCAACTCAGTGTGATTTCTTTCGCTGCGACACCTGTTCCTCGCGATATCTTAACTGCATCTGCGAGCAGCACGCAAACTTGTTTATTTCCGTTCAGCTTTGTTCGACCGTGAGGCCATAATTGATGTTTAAAAAGCGGAAAGACGTGTTCCATAGAGAGAAATGATAACGAGCGAGTTTAATTGTGAATTTAATGCGGAGCTATTTTAACGCCAATTTGAGAATTATGACGTTACTCGACGTTTATGTAGTTATCCGTGGAAGTATATCGATGAAAAGCGGAATGAGAGAAAGAAAACAAATTGAGAATTAAAAACTAAAATGTTCACGTGTGTTCTATTAACATACTTTTGATTAAGCGGTTTGTACACGCCGTTCCAGCTGAGCCGAAATTACAAAGGTTCTATTGGACTCGGTAATTCCGGTAAAACGGCTGTTTCCCCGTAGTACAGTGGCAGTAGAGTCCTCGGATCTATTATTCAGAGCAATCTTTACGCCGCACGCGGAAGGAAATTGCTATTTATTTATTTAACAAATTTCCCTCGACTAGTATGTCATGATCGTACATACGAGTCTTCTGATACTCGTTACGAGGAATTTTCCATGAACAGCTCCGCGGAAACGGAGATGGACTATTATCGCGCGGTGAGGAGATATTACAACATCACGCTTGAGAGAATTCTCACCTGTTCGACTGCATCCCGCCGTTGATTTGAGCATAAATGAGGGGCGAGAGGCCGACCGCGATCGCGTATATCCAGAAGACCGCGATGTACTTCTCTATGCTACTGTGGGTGATGATGTTCTTGTAGCGCAACGGCTGCGCCAACGAAGTCAGGCGGTCCACCGCGATCGCCACGGTCACCAGGACGCTGACGCTGCAGAGCGCGATCACGATGCAGTACGGCACGATGCAGAGCGTGGTGACGCCGTTCTCCGGCAGGCCAGAAAGCTCCAGCTGCATCCCGAAGGGCATAAACACGCCAACCTGCACGGAAGCACGGCGACGACGGGTTACTGCAGTGTCGAATGAGGATTACGCGTGCGCCATCGTGCGCAAGCTAGCCCATAAAACGGACTTTGGAAGGAACGCGAAACTTGCGCGAGATTGATATTGTTAGGTACTGTTTTGGAACAATTGTCGCATTTACATTTATGACTGCAATGCATGAACGTGCCAATTATATTGATGCAAATCTATGAGACTGGTATAATCCATCGTTGGATAATTAACAACAAGAGAGAGAGAGAGAGAGAGAGACGGAAGGTTCTTTTGTAAAATTTATATATAAATTATTGTGTGTTTGTTCTCTATATTTCGCCGCGGGTAGGAGTGTATTACTATTTCTTGAATGTCGCATGGGACGAGCGTGTTTCCAGCAGCTACACGAAAAGTAAGGGAAGGTATACGACAGGCTCGTAAAAAAAACTCACCCCAAAGTCGCTGATGGCCAAGGAGACCAGAAGGCAATTGGACGCGGTCCTGAGCCTCTTATACCTGTAAAAGGCGGCCAGGATGATGGAGTTGCCCGTGACCGTGATGGGCGACAGTATGCACACTATGGAGACCGCGAGGAACACTGAGATGGGACTAACGTCCAGCTGCGATCTGTCGATCCTGGTGACGGTGGGTATAACTGCGGTCGTCAGTTCCCCGGCAACGGTGCTCGACAGCGTATCCGTAGCGAGCGCTGACATTGTCGCTCTCGCAACGGCCGGGTGGTCCGCACTTTTCTCGCCAACGTCTCCTCGGCCTTCCTTAGGTCAAGTTCCGCTCGTAGACGCGTCCTCCTCCGCGCGGCGACATGACGCGAAGTCTTCCAGGCTGCCACGTCGTGTCAGGAACACGGTAGATTGACGGCGAGTCACTCGCGTCTAACGGCGTCCGTGTCGCGCGGACCCTCGACAGGCTTGGCGCCGCCGTTCGACGCTGTAAATAAGCGAACGACGTGTTTCTCGTGGGATACGTTGATAATTGGATTAGCAATTGTGAGCGCGACTCGGGAGAGAGGTTGAATGAAAAGGAATCAAATCCAATATCACTCGTGCGTTTTCTCTCATGTGACGTGGATATATAGTATTCTCAATGCAACACTTTCCAAGTTTAATTACATTTCTGAAGTCGTGTATTTTCACTCAGAGCTGCTGGAGCCAGTTCTCTTAATATTTAAACCAGCTGCTATTTGTAATGAGGATGTTTCCTTATGTGAAAGAGATTATTACTACTCTTCTACGAGTTTAATTATTTCTTGCAATTTTAAAACGTAGCCCGGCCGTTTATCGCGTTCGTTTGTTCATTCATTCGTTTTCGATGGAGCGAGTTAGCTGAATGGAAAACGCAATTTTTGCCGGTAACAACGTTGCGGCAAGGTTTACTTTTACTGACCTTCTACAGCACGGTATATTCCCTGCGGCAACATTGTGGCTTTCCATGTTCGGCAGTCTGAAGTTTTTCACTTGATTAGCGAGTTTTCCTCGAGACTCGTGATGGAAGCGTTTGTACTTTATGCCGAAGCGCAATCAGTTTGCCGAAATATTACGGGCTACGTGGAGTTTCATGAGTTCCCTGTCAGGAAACGGAAATATCTTAATACACCACAACGTATCGTTACGTCCTTGATCCTTTCTTGCTTGTTCCACTCAACTCTTCATTTTCACGTCTCCGCCGACTTCGTCGTATCCCTTCGTTTCCTGAAATGAAAATGGGTCTCTGGTTACTTTTTTTTTTCATAGAATGCAGCTATTGTATAAAATTTTCTTACAAAGTAGTACGCGCATAAAAAGTTGCACGCACCAGATGTCGCGAGGCCGATTTCAGCGTACACTAGAAACGGAACTTGCTCAAGTAGTTTTTTATTAAAAAAAGAAATGAGCACCATATTCCTATTTTCTTCTATCCCTTCGAAATCTTTACCATGCGCTTTCGTCGTATCAGTTAAAAAATTAATTTTCTGCGCAATGCATTTCTTGCAACGCATCCGTCCGAGTCTCCCACGTTCTCCCACAACTCGACGAATTGCTGAATCGCCTCGTCCGAGACACACGAAAGCGATTGTTCGCAATCTACAGTAATGACGATTCCTCCTCGCAAATGCCGCCATCAATCCGCAAATGCACACGGACGGAGAGAGCAGAGAATGTGCTAATTCCACGTACATAGCAGAAAACGGACTTAGCGAGTGTCGCCGCGCACGATGCCCGCATTAATAATAAAAGAGCAGCACTCATTCGTTCGCGAATAAAAAGCGAATCCTACGTCGATAGCCGAGATGTGCCGTCGTGGTCGCTTAAATTCGCCCGTGCATCAGCCATTATCCGGCATTTGCAATTCGAATGAGACGGAACGCGACGTTAATGCTCGCACGGACAGACCGGCGACCGACGACGTCTGGATCGGAGGGTGAATGAATTTTAACGCCATTGGAATCAAGCCGAGGCAATTTGCCGAACGCTTTCACGTGGCGGCTCCCGTGGCGTTAGGACGTTTAATTAATTTCAAGTTGTCAAGACGTATCTCCCCCCGGAGCGCACCACGGAAACGCTTCTCGGCCACACTTAATGTCGAATTCACGCTTATTATGGAGCGCGCCTGCGGTCGGGGTGTAATTAAAATCGACACCGGTGTTTTTTCACGCTTCGAGCAAAACCAACATCCGCCGGCGATTCGATGTTCTTCTGTGAGTATTTTCGGTGCAACGAAAATAATTCTCAAAGATACGATCAGAAGTTACTTGTCTTCTCTCTGTCTTGTCTTCTATTTATTTACTATTACTTCTCTCTACTTGTCTTCTATTTATTTACTATTACTTGTACTATCGACTTTGTAAATAGTGCAAACCTATTTCATTTGTACTATATAATTAATACTTGTTAATTAATGTACATTAAAAAATATTTAAAAAATAAAAAATATATACATTTGATGGGTACTAAAATAACATATTTATTTGTTCTAACGTATACATATTTTTATACTGAGGAAAATTTCTCTCAAATAACGCGAAATATATATATAAATATAAATATAAAAAAAAAATATATATATA